ACAAATATGATACTTTAGTAGCTACTTATAGAAAAAAAAACTATTTCCTTTAGAAAAATTTCTAGTGCGYTGAACTCTTTTATTAGGTTTTGTTATTGCGAACAGCTTGCCATTTACTTTATTTATAGCTATGTAATTTTAGAATCAGCGGGGCAGTAAGTTGTAAATACCAATGAACTTGTGTAGTCACCATAAGAATATTCACATTTTAACTTAAGAAAAATTATAATTTGTTGCTGATTTAGTGCGAGAGACATTTGATGATTTTTATAAAGAGCCAAGTATTGCCTAATGAAAATGTAAATAAGACCCGCATATGTAAAATGACGGCGCTGAGATTGTGCGGCAAATGCTTTCAGTGAAACTATGAAATGGTTAAGCTGGAAATTCCGCAAACAGCGGGAGCTGCTTCAATGTGAAAAGTTCTCGTACACTTCACAMACATTAAAAGTCGAGCCATAACACTGTTGTCATGCTTCAAATCGATAGAAAAAAATGTATGTGCACATTGTATATATGAAATATGTTTGTCTGCTATTTTATTCGYGTTGAAAAGCACACACATCCATTTCCTGCAGCGAAAAACTGAATTTTGAGGAAATTAATTTCAGATTTTATTTAAAGTGGATGCGTAAATACGCGCCTTTATTGAGCTGGCAGGCAAAATTTTCTTCGAAAATAAAAAAAAAAAAATACTTCGCAAAATTTCGACAGGGTCGCGCATAGTGAATTCTCGCGTATGCGTGTAGAAATTGCTTTTCAATGTAGGCAAAAGGTTTAATCGAGTTTTACACACAGCTATGCATTGACTGTGCATTTTTTGCACTTGCTTTTTGTTGCATTTGGTTGCGCAGCACTTTGTTTTCGAATGGCCTTCGTGTAGCSAGATTGTACCAGCTTGTTGCTGCCATTTTCAGTTATGCAAATTTCACGAGGCCGTGCGATATTCGTTGCAAAAGTAACATTACCCGAAGCCGGCTTGGCAAAAGTTCGAAACAAAAAAACAAAACACAAAAAAAAAACGAAAAAAAAAAAAACCGTGCGCGTGTACATCACATCAAATGAAAATCAACAGCAAACAATTTCTGTTCACTTCAGCGAAATGTATTATATATGTGTGTGTGTGTGTACCTGGAATTGGGCGCATGTATTCACTTCATACTTTTGTGCTAAAAAGCTTACTAGTTTTTCGCTAAATTTCACCTAAAAATTGAATARACGCGTTGCAGCCACTTTCCACTCAGCAACTTGTAATTGCGCATGCGCTGCGTATTCACMATTTTGAGTGCCATTATTGGTTTGGCTGCTATGCGCGTTAAAACTTAATTGCATTTGCTGCAGGTGAAACGTTTTTTCGTAACAATGTGTGTTCGCATACAATCAACGCTATCTTTCACTATCCACTATCTCTCTCTCTCTCGTTTTGGCATTTTTGCTCTTCATTTTGCGAAGTAATTGCTTGTAATGCGATTTATGGCGCGTGATTGAAAAGTTATGTTCGAAAGTACTTAAAATGTGTGTGCGTTTTGCCATACCACAGTTTTGTATATGTGTGTGCCCATGTAATTGCAAATAATCATATTAAACCCGYTTGTTGTGGTCACTGCACAGGTATCAATTTAAATTCAATTTCAAGCATTAAACAATTAAAGTTATTAACTGAGCAAAAWTGCCGTCAGAAAATCAACAAAGAACTAAATTGGATTATCCAATTAAAAGTGTGAAAGTTTCTATTTTTGTTTTCAATAGTTTTTAATTATTTATAACCACTATCTAGCATATGATTTCAAAGTAGAACTGAAGGCAATTTACGCAGTTCCCCAAAAATATWKAAAACAAGAAAAAACGTTAACTTCGGCTGCAACGAAGCTAATATACCCTTTGCAGGTGCATTTCTTTTAGTAACTTTGTGTGCAGTTTATATGGAAGCTATACGCTATAGTAATCCGATCTGAACAATTTTTTCAGAGATAATAATATTACCTTAAGCAGTAATCCATGTCAAATTTCGTGAAGATATCACGTCAAACGCAAAAGTTTTCCATGCAAGCCCTTGATTCCGATAGTTCGGTTTGTATGACAGCCACATGTGTATATGCTATGGTAAGCCGATCGGAACAATTTCTTCCGATATTACACTATTTCAATAAATGATTTATCTTCACGAAATCTAGTAAGAGTTATTACTAAATTTCGTGAAGATATATCGTTAAATGAGAAAGTTTCCCATGCAAGCATTCGATGATCGGATCATTCAGTTTGTATGGCAGCTATATGGTATAGTTAATCGATCTGAACAAGTTCTTCGGAGGTTACATAGTAGCCTTAGAAAATAATCTATACCAAATTGTGTGAAGATACCACGTCAAACGCAAAAGTTTTCCATACAARCCCTATATGTGACCTRGTCTACGAAAAGGGAGCTAACGTGCGAAAACTAGTTTTCTGGGAAACAGCTGTTAAAAATCTCATCTTCCATCCGAATCAACTAAATAGTGAAAATTGATTTTTTGGATTTTTTGACACCTAAGCCCCCTTTCCGTAGACCAGGTCACAAATGTTATAGTGGTCCGATATCGACAGTTCTGACAAATGAGCAAAATTTCAAAACGATATATTAAAAACTGAGGAACAGATAGACGGACATGACTAAGTCGACTCAGCGCAACATACTKATCATTTATATATATACTTTATAGGGTCTCCGACGCTTCCTTCTGGCTGTTACAAACTTCATGACAAACTTAGTATATCCTGTTCAGGRTATAAATATAATATAAGCTTTTGTTCTAACAGCTCTCCTAATAAGAAGAAAATTCTTATTCTTTTTCTTCTCTACATTCATCTCTCTTTAATCATCGTATGAGAAATWAAGAATTCTTTTTCTCCAACTTAAACTCGCAATTTATTGTATTAATCTTCGAAAATATTGAACACAAGTCATTCTGAAAAGCAAATTTTTCTAAKACCGCGCCACTAGCATTAAGGCCATATATATTTATATATAAAGTTTGTTCAAAATAGTTTGTTACAAACAAATCTTCAAAACATCGRCAAAATGGTGTCGCAAAATAGAGTTAATCAAGATATTTGATAACCTAAATTATCAAAAGCACATGGTGGGCATATTTTTCGCAAAAATTTGCTATATGTAGTCCTTTGTGAAGCCATAGAAAAGAAGAACTCCCTTGTTCGAAGCAAGCGCTTATTAGTCAATACAAAATTGCACAGGTCTGCGATCCCAAGTGCTTAAGACTTGACCTCCCAAACGCGAGACAGCCAAGAAAGAAGTGATGCTTCGTTTCCCCCTCACCGCTTGTATACATCTTCTGCAAATGGCGTCTGGTAAAATTCCCAACCCTACAGCATGGACGCTAATAGGGCAATGGCTTGTAAAAGCTTCTAAACTAGGGAGACGCTAGCCTTACTGAGGGCAAAGAGATCACAAGCTTCTGCGAAGCCCAGCTATCTAGTGGTAGAATACAAGAGGATAAGGGAGCACCGGCCCGCTCCCGGTTTTAGRATGCGTTCTCTTACTAGCTGATCAGCTTGGCAATTTCTTGCGGTTCCGCTATGGCCAGGCATYCATACCAGTCTTATCACAAAGACACACGATGATATTTACAGCGTCTTTAGGCACTTTTCGCTACCTTAATGGCTGCAACCTCGSCTTAAAAGACACTATAATAGTCAGAAAGTCTAAAGCTGTACTTGATTGAGAACTCGTGACAGTAAACCATTATCCTAACCCCAAGCTTTGAACAATCCTTAATGAAGATCCTCCTTTCTAAAGAAACTCCCTCGACAGTATATAGGCAAAGAAGGAGCATCAGGGTTCGGCTTGGCCACTCCATGRTCCAAGTGATCCGTTATGAAATCSAAARAATGAGAGAATATCCGAATGTTCACATACGTGTTCTTTCAAGMATCCAGATTCTCTGAGTCTGATAGCAGCAATCGCAGCCATACCACCTCTGACGATGTCTACAGACATTATGTACAATAATATTGACGGAACYAGGTCTTATCTTGAATACGTTTGTTCCCAAATAGACTTCTCATGCTATTAAATCTCACACTTCCTTGTTCCCGAGTTCAATAGTTCAATAGTTCATTACTAATATTACTCTTTAGGAAGGTATTTTGCAATCAAAACGAAAAACAATACTKATCATACTGTATAAATAAAATAAATACTTAAAATTGTAAAAAGTACTATTTCATTTTSCATACACTTCTTATAAGCCTCGGCTGTATGGTCTTCAGTGCCTTTAGTTTATATTGGTTTTATAAACCCGTTTCTTGTCACCAGTGACGATGCGTTTGTTAAATGTAGAGTCCTCAGCTGTGTTGTCAAGCATATCTTTTACTAACTCTCCTCGACATTTAGATCGAGCTGGCTSTTCATACCTTAAATATTAACCATAATATGTTGAGTTGATCCATAAGAAATGTTAAGATCCTCCACTAACTCTCTAATACCAAAAAGAAGATTYTCAAACATTGCTTTTTTTAACTTATTCGATGTTCGCGTCGTCATTAACAGAGGGGGATGGGTGGATGGATTTCAACGACTTCACACTCAAGCACTTGTGCACGTCATAAAGTTCACTTTCCAAAATATTTCAGCAACGTTGACAGCAATTCCGTAGCCGGAAACAATATTTTTAATTTTTATGTATTCATTTTGTACTCGCAGTTTAAATAGACGAGTCGGGGTCAAATTTGGTACAAATGTGCATCATTTTTCATAAGAAATAAATTTAATAAACTACTATATTAAATATTTATAATAAATATGTATTACTACATGTTCTCCAAAATAAAAATAATATTAACAGCATCCGAATTCTCTACTGAGTAATTACCGCAGCTGCTGATTCGGTTATTCGCTAGTGCAGTAGCGAACAGTCGCAACATCGCTAATAGCTGTGTGAATGCAGCCCTACAGTCATCAGCTGATGTAAACAAACAAAACGCAGTGAAGCGGCAAAATTAAGTGATAAAATTTGTGGAAAATTGGTTAAAAGTGATTAATTATTAAATTTGTTCCAATAATCAATAATTTGAGTGTGTTAGATTAATATGTTTGTGATTTTTGTGATAAAGAATATTTGCTGATAGAGTTTGTGTGCATTTCATACTAATTCGAGCAATTGGTCGTKGCCGGCTGCTAATAAGGTATGTGCATAGTTTTCAGTGTTCTTATTATAATTTTGGAGTTATTAAAATTATAAAAAATAAGGCTTCAACTGTATAAGAGAAATATTAAAAGAGATTTTTAACAACGCTCAAAACAAAAAGCGCTGCAATACAAATATTCGAAAACAGCACAATAATGGACTTACAAACATACAACCASCGATTTGTTTAAAAAATAATAGCAAAATATGTGTTAAAAATTTACCAAATATTRTTGCAATTAGTCAATGTCGGCGAAAAAGTGGTACACAGCCACATTACTCAACCGATATTCAGCACAAACAGTCCCACCCCGCCGCCTTTTCCCACACACACACGGTATGCAACGCTCCGCAACTGTTGCGTTGCCGTCATCTTTCATGGAATCGCCTATAAAATGATTAATTTCGCTTRCATTTGTAATAAAAATGCAAAGTTACGTAAGTTAAATTAAAAATTAAATTAAAATTAACTGCACAACAATGTTTACAAAATGTTAAACATGGTGTGCTACYGATATCTGGGTGACACCAAAAGTCCAATAAACAACAAAAAACAACAAACTCATATATATTGCGCGTAAAATCGTTGCAGTGCTTGCAGTTTATACAAAATGTATGTACACACAGATCCACATATCCATACATACATACAAACGTACAGGCATTCGCTTGTGGTGGAATATGGACTGCAAATCATAAAACTCATTTAATAAGCTTGAAGAAACACAAATGTAGGACATTTAGCTATAATATCGACAGCACAAAATTTTTCATAGCACCAACTACATGCTTTGTTTATGGCAACTTGTCCTTGAGGTAGTCCCATTTTGTTTATTCACTACTGTATGTGGATATTTTTAGATAGCAAGCAACCATAAAATAGTGTGCTATCCTTGACATGGTACGATGCACCAATTACTTGATYTCTATTTTAAGAAAAGCTGTGTATAAAAAGATTATAGCGTTTTWTTCTTGATAGAGTTCGAAGCCATAAGATTGATCTGGATATATTTTGACCTTCATTGTCTCTTCTACATAAATATTCAATTAGTAAGTCATATTTAATCATAACCTTCATTTGAAACCCTTCTCTAAATAATTTAAAGAATTTTTTACAAATTCTTTCCAGTTTTTTTTTATAGTAATAATAATAGTAATTCAAATTTCTGGTAAATGTTCTAGCAGTTCCGAACTGAAATATTTCTATGGAAGAGTTTAACTTTACGTATGGGAAATTTTTTATTTATATTTCTTCATTCACATTTTGATCTATTTGAAAACAWACCTAAATAAATAATTACATTTTCYGTTATCAGTCATTCCGAATAAATATTTAATGAGTTTTGTTTAACACCCAGTCTACTCTGTTGCGCTTTGTTATAACTTCATAATTTGTTTGAACTGTATTTTTTGAATTTAACTTATTTCATTCATGTTTGTCAAAATAAATATGCACGTGCTTCATTAAAATTTTGGCAGACTTTTTGGCGCGTTAATTTTCCACGCTTTGCTGATTTCAATTAAGATTTCCAAGAAAATTAAGGCAGACACGTAAACGGATGAGCGCTAAAWTTTGTGAGTTTGCATAATGTTCACTTGCTTGAGTAAAGTTTAGTTGTTAACGCCTGCTGTTTGTTTTTATAGTGAAGAAAATTAGGGACATTCGGTCAAAACCATATCGCTCTAGCATTGGGATGATTTAACTCATTTCTAATATTGCGTTCTGATGGCAACCGTTATTGCCAGTCTGAAACCCCACCTTCTTCAGAAAGATTGTCGTATTCTAAAAAGATTTACTTCCAAGTCTTTCTTTCACTTTTGACTCCTTCGCTACCTGGTACCAAAAAAATCGCAGATGAAACTAAAGGTCAGAGTGATCAGTACATATGTATATGTTACAAAAGTAATAATTGATAAAACGAGCTCTGCTAGTCGAACATATAGAAAATTCGTGAGCATGCTTGTAATACGATTTTACTTGTTATTAGGGTTTCTCCACTAGTCTATGTTTCTGTTATAGTATTAGGTGATTCCACAATTTTCACACAGTTTTATAACAAACTGTGTAAAATGCTGCAGCCAATTTGGCGACCCGCTCCCAGCCGCACCTCTGGTGATCAGACGTGGCAAATATAGTAGACTTCAGACTTCAGCGGACTCTTAAACTGAATAAGTAGGAGTTGCTTTTAGCCGTGACCMGAGGCTCCGCACAGGTTGGCTAACGCATCTTACACCAGAGTTTTTCAGGTTTACAGCAGCGGTCTACGCAGCGAAGACGCAAGTGTAGTGTATTAAGTATARCCCTAAGACTGTAACTGCTTACCAAGAATTATGACTAAACCCCTTTACCAGTATCAACACCAACAATAATATCAACCTTGAAGCCCCACACAGAATCATTATTTCCAACAGGCACTGCTCTGGACTGAGTAAGCAATTGAGAAGTGAAGTACTCTCTCGACTAACGAAAACCAACTCTAACTCATTATCCCCGTCCTGCTATATGGTGCGCAGGCTTCGACAATGACATCATTTGATGAGTGGTACGATGAGCTGTACGAGATATACTATAGACATAGTTCAGCGAATTAGAAAACAGCGGCTGCGCTGGCTTTGTTATGCTGTCCTGAAAGAAGRGAACACTTTGTTTGGAAGGTTTTTGATACAAACCTCCACTCCATTGGAGAGACATGATGGAGAAGCAGCTGGTTGCATTCTGGAATCAGCGCTAAATAGCGAAAAGAARATACGACYKGCGCGCTGTTGTTAACTCGGCTATAACCGCGTAAYCGGTGTCTACACTAGTAAATAAGAAGAAGAATATCTACAGGTACGGACCGAATTACTAGTCGGAATTTTTAAGAAAACAAGGAGATCAAAATATTATTCCTTTGATCAATACGACAAATATATTTAACAATGTAGTGTGATATTTTCAAACCGATCGTTTCAGCCGTTCCCAAAGAATTTTKCTACCGATTGGACTAATTTAAAAAGTTCTTAAAAATTACGATTRTTTATATTAAATCTTAAAACTTAGGGTATGTATTTTGGTTTCTACTAAAAATCATAATATTTTCCTTTACCTTCATTTAATCGTAATTGGTAGCGCCCGAAGATATACACACACCTTCTTATCTAAAAATGTTTATAATTCGATTATTAATAGTAGTATTCAACGTCAAATAAATCACTGGCGTTACAAGTTTAATTGCAAGTAAATCAGCTTAATGAACCCACGTGCTAGACAAGCCTTCTGTAATTCGTGGAATTAATTTCCCATAAGAATTTTTCAACTGCATTGAATACTTRACTGACAGTCCAATGACAATAGCAAAGTTATAGCGAAAGAATGAAAACAAAGAATTAAGAAAGAGTAAATTATATGTATATGTATGAGTGTATGRAAATCACTGCTGAAAACCAGMTGGAAAAGAAGAAATTACTAATGAATTAAAGCCAACAAAGGAGTGTAGTGATGAGCAATTATTTGCATATGTATAGGCACGTGTTAACAGTACATTATGCGCAGCACTGAATTAAGTTGCGGCCAAATAAAAAAAAACCGATGCGAAGCAATAAAAACGCTAATTAAAAATTCGCCAAGAATGATTTGCTGCGAAGCGATTGTTAAACACGTAAACAAATAAACTTGCTGTAATTGTTATCGAATTGGTAGTCAGCAGACCAGGACAGATAAATTGCAAACAAAACAAAATAAAATCAGTTGCACCGATGCTATGATACCCTCTACATGCAAGAAAAAAGCATCCATCTAGCAGTTTGATTTTGATCGGTTTGTTTGTACGATGGATATATGATATATTGTTCCGAGGATATATGATATAGTGGACCGATCTGAATTATTTGTTTGGAGGTTATTGCGTTGCCTTGGTGAATAATGCGTGCCAAATTTCGTGAAGATTTCTTGGCAAATAAAAAACATTTCCATACAAGGACTTCGGTTTGATCGGTCAGTTTGTATGACAGCTATATTATATGGTGGTTCGTTATCGGCAATTCCAACAAATGAGCAGCTTCTAAAGAAGAATTCAACGTATGCTAAATTTCAGATCGAGATCTCAAAAACTGAGGGACTAGTTCGCATATATACATACGTACGGACATACTGACGGGCATTACTAAAACGACTCAACTCGTCTCACCAAACGTTTATATGTATAAATGTTATATATTCGTATATTATATCTACTCTTTATTGTCTCCGAAGCTGTCTTCTGGCTATAACAAACTTCTTAGTAAACTTAATATACCATGTTCTGGGTATAATAACAGGGCCCAACAGCAGGAACATTTTTAAGAAGAAAAACGACAACAATATACATTAAAAATAATTCCGCAAACGAAGAGCCAACGAATTGAGGCCAACGAAAACATGCTGTGACACTTGGTCTCGCCTCGTGTTCAGCCATTTGTTTATCGGCTGGCGGCACTGTTGGGCGCTGTCGTGGCAGTTGTGTGCGCCAACAATAACCGAAAAAGTACAACCACATATCAATTAACGCTTTTGAGCGACTGGCAATTGTTGCGGCACAAATGGTTGCTGATGTCAACTGCCAGTTGGTAGGCGGCAGTTAACATACAACAGTCCTACGATGTCGCCTCCAAGGCATTCCAGTCTGATGAAAGGCGCTGGAAGTTTACAACGCGGGAGTAAATACCAAGCAAAGCAGAGCAAACGCGCGAGACGCTTGTGCTGAAAGGGTATGTCAAATTGCTGCCTGTAACTGTCATGTTCTACTCACACTGTGTTGCGCACACTCTCATGCACACACTTGTGTGTATATACACACACGCGCGCAAAGTGTTTATTTTGCACTCTCAGTTGGCCATTTCACCGCAAAATGCTATTGGGAATTGTATTTAATGCTGACCGTATTTTCCATACAATTTTCGCCAATGACACTTTCCTCAGTCGTTTGTCACAGCAACAAGTTACTTGTGCACACACATGTACT